TTGGGGCAGTCTCCCTTCACATCTTGCTTTATTTGTAAACCAAGAACTTCTCAGATCCCAAGGCCTCACAAACCTGCCAGAGCATTAAGCCCGTCCGTTTTCCTCTGCGCAGCCCAGCCATGCCCTGATCCGAGGGCGCCACCTAATGGCCGCATTTCACCAGTGCAGTCCCAGTACATCCTGAAGGACAGCTTCTCCGTCTCCTGTGAGACTGGCTATGAGCTTCTGCAGGTAAGTGGGCTACAAGGCTAAGCACCCCACCACACGTGGGCAAGGGGCGGGTCTCTTCTGTCAGCGCACAGGCAGGAGAAATCAAGGAAATGAGGGTGGCCATGGAGTCTTATTCTTTGCAACCCTGTCTTTATTTTTGGTGATACCTGGGCTAGAACTCAGGACCTTGTGCTTTCTAGGCAGGCACTCTCCCGCTTGAGCCATGCCTCTGGCCCCTTATCCACTGGCTATGTTTGAGGCAAGGTCTGAACTAAATCCTCCTACATGAACGTCCCTTTGCTGTTGGGATTCCAGAGGTCACTGCTGTGCCCAGCTATGGTGCACCTGCGGCTAGGATAAGAGGCGGCCATCTTCCACCCAGCCCTTGATAAGATGGAATCTCATGACCTTTTATGCGCAGGTGGGCTTCAGATCCTGATTTTCTGATTTTCTTCTTCCAAGGAGCTGGATCATAGGCTTTAGCTACCATACCACCCCCCACTCCCCATTCCCCACCCCACCTGTCCTGGGGCTTGAACTCAGGGTCTAAACGCTGTTCTTGAACTTTTTTGCTCCAGGCTAGCACTCAACCAATTGAATCACAGCTCCACTCCTGGCTTTTTGGTGGTTTATTGGAGATAAGAGTTTCATGGACTTTCCTGGACTTTCCTGCCCAGCAATCCTCAGATCTCAGCCTCCTGAGTAGCTAGGATTACAGGTGTGAGCCACTGATGCCTGGGTTAATTTTTTTTTTTTTTGTCTCTCATGGGGCTTGAACTCTGGGCCTGGGCGCTGTCCCTCAGCTCTTCAGCTCAAGGCTAGCGCTCTACCACTTGAGCCACTTCTGGTTTTCTAGTGGTTTAAAGGAGATAAGAGTCTCACGGACTTTCCTGCCCGGGCTGGCTTTGAACCGCGATCCTCAGATCTCAGCCTCCTGAGTAGCTAGGATTGCAGGCGTGAGCCACCAGCGCCCATCCCATGCTTTTTTTTTTTTTTTTTGTGCCAATACTGGGGCTTGAACTCAGGATCTGCACACTGTGTCTAAACATGTTGCTTAAGGCTGGTGCTGTGCCACTTGAACCATAGCTCCCATACCAGCTTTTTGCTGGTTAGTTGGAAATAAGACTCTCACAGACTTTTCTGCTTGTAGTGGCATCAAACCATGATCTTCAGATTTCAGCCTCTTGAGTAGCTAGGATTACTTTTTTTTTTTTAAGCTACTTTTGGAAAACTGCTGATTAAAATGAGCAGCATTTCTGCCCATTTCACACATTGCAATGACTATTTGTAAAATGGCCAAAAGAGCAGAGAGGGAAGTTTGTTACCTGTGCCCTGTGATTGTGCCTGGCATGAAATTCCAGGCCCTCTGGCCACCTGACAGCTTTCCCAGGAAACTCCCCCCCCCCCTACCCCCCCCTACAGTCAGCAGATGGACTGGAAACAGCACAATCTGCAAAGTTATAAATAGTGACCACTGTTAAGGGAGAGGGAGTATAATTTTTAAAAATGCTTAGTATATCGCTTTAGGGCACAGGTAAGACATTAACACCTCCTCTCTATGTTCTTCTAAATTGTCACTGGATCCCAGAGGTAAGAAGTAATAACGGTGAGATGCTGCGGGATCGCTCAGAGTCCTGCCAAGGCCAAAACCACAGGAAACAAAGCAAAGCAACTCTCACCTGGCAAACTTTGGGCCAGGCTCCTTTCTGCAGCTCCTTAGACCTCCTTAGATCTGTTCATGTTTTCATTAGATGGGGAAAAAATCATAGCTGGGTGTTGGCTGCCCACACCTGTAATCCTAGTTACTCAGGAGGCTGAGATATGAGGATTGAGATTCAAAGTCAATCTGGGCAAAAAAGTCTGTGAGAGGGCTGGGAAGGTGGCTCAGTGGTAGAGTGCTTGCCTTGCATGCCTGAGGCCCTGGGTTCGATTCCTCAGCACCACATAAGCAAAAAGAAAAAAAAAAGCCGGAAGTGGTGCTGTGGCTCAAGTGGTAGAGCACTAGCTTTGAGCTGAAGAGCTGAGGGACAGCGCTCAGGCCCAGAGTTCAGGCCCCACAACCGGACCCAAAAAAAAAAAAAAGTCTGTGAGAGGGCTGGGAAGGTGGCTCAGTGGTAAAGCGCTTGCCTTGCATGCATGAGGACCTGGGTTTGATTCCTCAGCACCACATAAGCAAAAAGAAAAAAAAAGCCGGAAGTGGCACTGTGGCTCAAGTGGTAGAGCGCTAGCCTTGAGCTGAAGAGCTGAGGGACAGCACCCAGGCCCAGAGTTCAGGCCCCATCACCAGATTCCCCCCCCCCCCAAAAAAAGAAAAAAAAAAGTCTGTGAGATTCTTTTTGTATGTTTTGTTTTGCCAGTCCTGGGGCTTGAACTCAGGGCCTGAGCGTACTGTCCCTGAGCTGCTTTTGCTCAAGGCTAGCACTCTACCACTTGAGCCACAGTGTCACTTCCAGTTTTCTGTGTATATGGTACTGAGGAATCGAACCCAGAGGAATCGACCACACAGACACCTTTCTCAGCCCTGTGAAATTCTTTTTTTTGTTGTTGTTGGTCGTGGGGCTTGAACTCTGGGCCTGGGTGCCGTCCCTGCGCTCTTCAGCTTAAGGCGAGCGCTCTACTGCTTGAGTCACAGCACTGCTTTTGGTTTTCTAGTGGTTTACTGGAGATAAGTCTCATGGAGTTTCCTGCCTGGGCTGGTTTTGAACCATGATCCTCAGATCTCAGCCTCCTGAGTAGATAGGATTACAGGCGTGAGCCACCAACGCGCGGCCCCTGTGAGATTATCTCCAGCAAAAAGCTAGAAGTAAAAGGGTGGCTCAGGAGGTAGAGCACCAGCCTTGGGTGAAAAAGTCAAGGGAGAGCATGAGGACTTGAGTTCAAGCATCAGTACAGGCACACAATTAAAATAATTAAAGCGATGATGGAGAAAGGGAAAGGGGTAGGAAGACCAAGAATTCCAGACTCTGCCTAGCCCAAGCAAGGCTCTGAGTTCCAGAAATACAGAAGGGGAGAAAAAGGGATGTGGGAGCATTTAGCAGGAACGCTGAGGTCTGACGGCCTCTAGGGTTATAGAGGAAAGCACAGATTTAGCATGTGATTCACACGTCAGTACACCGCGGATGATGAGCCAGGGTGCTGGCGACAGAAGCACTGCTGTGTTTTGCTTTTGTCCTGGAGCGTGAACTAGTGCCTGGCCACCGCCCCTTAGCTTTGCACTCAAGGCCAGCTCTCTGCCTCCTGAGCCACAGCTCTACTTCCAGCTTTTTGATGACGATGTGGAAATAGTCTCATGGGCTTTCCTGCCCAGGCTGGCTTCAAACCATGATGCACAGATCTCAGCCTCCCGAGTAGCTAGGATGACAGGTGTGTCACCAGTGCCTGGCTTCTGCAGAGCTTTTGGTTACAAATGTGTCCCACGAGGAAGCCATGGGCTGGGCCACCAAGAGTAGGTGCCACCCAGCTTCACTGCGCAAGTGTGGTTAGGGGTCAGAGGAAGAACTGGGCGGCTCAGGCTCAGCAAGTGACGGGACAGTGGAAGCAAGAGACTTACTTTCTGAATTCCTCTCTAGGGTTCCTTGCCCCTGAAGTGGTTTGCTGCGGTCTGTCAGAAAGATGGATCTTGGGACCAGCCCATGCCCCAGTGCAGCAGTACGGCTGTGGTGACCATTCCCTCCCGCACTCCTTCCCTCCCTTCTTCCCTCCCACCCTCCTGCCCTCCTTCCCTCCCTCCTTCCCTCCCCTGCGGCCTGTATCCCCTGCTTCCCCCTCCCCACCCTCAAGTAATTCCATTTACAGAGGCTCAAATCCTACATTTGCTTCTCTTCCTCAGATTCCTGGAGAATGTAAACATGCGCCCTGAACATGTTCTTTTCCAGCCAGGCACAGTGGCTCCTGGCTGGGTGTGGTGGCGGGCGCCTGTAGGTCTAGCAAGGGCAAAAGTGTGAGACCCTGCCTGAAACATAATTTAAGCAGAAAGAGCTGTGGCTTAAAAGTACAAAGCCGTTGGCCAGCATATGCAGGGCCCTGAGTTCAAGCCCCAGTACTGCAGGAAAAAAAAAAAAAAGAGGTCTGGGAGTAGCCGGCATCCATCAGAGCCTGGACTCCATGCCCAGCTCAAAGACAGAATTTGAGGTCTCCTCCTTCGTATTCCGTATCCCCCTCGCTGCCAGGACTCCGTTGCCTGCTCTGGGCTTCATCTTCATCTGCTTCCCACCATTTACTCACACCTGCCCTTCCACCTCTGCGCGTGCAACCCCCGTGCAAGCTTTCCAGTTGTTCTTAAAGGTGTTTAAATCTCCATCTGCATCTACATATGCATGTGTTGTTTTTTGTTGTTTAACATCTCACCAATATGACTGCTCAAATTTCTTTTTTTTTTTGTGTCAAGGGTGGGGCTTGAACTCAGAGCCTGGGAGCTGTCTGAGCTTTTTCACTCAAAGCTAGTTAGTTGCTCGACCTACAGCACCACTTCCGGTTTTCTGGTGGTTACGTGGACATGAGTCTCACAGACTTGGATGCCCAGGCTGGCTTTGACCCACGATCTTGGATCTCAGCCTCCTGAGTGGCTAGGATTACAGACATGAGCTACAGGTCCCAGCGTCAGGCTGGCTTTGGACTCAGCTCCACCCGCAGCTTGCTGGGGTGACAGGCTGGCGTCACCCTCCCTGGCACTTTGTTTCAGGAGAGCTCCTGACTTTAGGGGAGGCATGCGCACCCCTTCCCCAGGGAGCGCCCGCAGAGCGTGGTTTTTTTTAGCCATGCTGGAGCCATTCACATTCTAGTTGGGAGCTCTGCACTGCACCCCTCTGGCCCGGTCAGGCCTTCTCAGGGGTAGCCAGCCTTGTGGACACGGGACGCCTCCTTCCCTGTCTCCTTGCAGTTGTAGACTGCGGTCCCCCTGATGATCTACCCAATGGCCGAGTGAACTACATCACAGAGCCTAACGTGACCACTTACAAGGCTGTGGTGCAGTATAGCTGCAGAGAGACCTTCTACACCATGAAGAGCAACCACAGTGAGCCAGGGCTCCGGGCTGGGGCGGGGGTGTTGGGGAGAGAAACCTTGACAAAGGATAGAAAGGCCTTTCTCCCACCCACTAAGTGAATTATTACAGTTCAAGTGAGTTTAATGTCAATTTGTGAGAATCTGAAAACAGATCTTATCTGGTAAATGCCGACTACAAACACACAATATATTCCAAATGGTTTAATTTAACAAGTCAAAACCTTATCATTAAGTACTTGAGATCTTGATACATATTCAAGGTATGCATCTAAAAGGTTTCCACTTTGCTAGTAAACATGGTAATGCAGAGATCTCTTATTTATGAAATCATGTAAAATGGTTATCCAGACACCTCTGTCTCCCCCAGGCTCAGGAATCAACATCTTTCAAGGGTGTTCAAGCGCAACAGCCACCTCCTACTTGTGGCTAAAACAGTTTTGCTTTTGCGATGATTTGCAGGCAAATACGTGTGTGAGGCTGATGGATTCTGGACGAGCTCCAAAGGAGAGAAATCCCTCCCAATCTGTGAGCCCGGTAATGGACCCATTTATCCCCCTCCCCCTCCCAGCTTCCTAATTGGCCAGGGGGGAGGGGGAGGGCTTTCGCTGTGGTAGGCAGAAATGGAACTTGGGTCCTTGGCTCTCAGACTAAGTTATTATTTCCAAATAATAAGTTCTCATTATCCCCTTTGCATATGGAGAGGTTGGAAGGGGCTGAATGCATCAGTCATTTGATTATTTTTGACCTTATAACTAGGCAGGCATAAAAAATTAAATGATTTTTTAAATTATCTCGAGCCATTTATACATTTATAAACATGAGTTCTTCTGTTGAGTTACTTTTCTTCTCTCTAAAAATGCTATTAAAACCAAAAGCTAATAACTTCATTATTTCCCTAAGCAATTGTTTTCAATGATGTCTAGGTTTTTAAACATTAATGCAATTTGCCTTTTAACAGTATTTTTTTAATACCAGAATTGGCTCCAACAATAATAATTGAGAAAGATTTTCTTAAAAAATTGATCGGTAATAATATATTCATTACCCCTGTGTTATTTGGCTTAAATTAGCTTTTGCAAACCTATACTTGGCCAACACAATCGCAGTGTTTGTTAGTTTTAATACCGCCATAGGAAACTTACATGCTTGTTTTTTCTTTACTGGGGCCTGGGCACTGCCCCTGAGCCCTGTGCTGAAGGCTAGCGCTCTTCCACTTGAGCCACGGTGCCACTTGGGCTTTTTCTAAGAGCCTCACAGACCTCAGACCTCGGCCTCCTGAGGCGCTGGGATTACAGGCCAGAGCAGCGCGCTTCGTTACAGAGCAGAATTGCCTGGCTCTACCCAGTGAACGTCAGTGTTCGGATCAATCAGCCAGACCCCGAGTAACTGGGCTAGGTCAATGCTTCCAGAACCCCCCCCCCCCCAGGCGGGCGGAAGTGGGGCCCCGGCAAAGCGGGGGAGGGGAGGGAGGGCTCCTCTCACCGCCCCGCCCTCGCTCGCTCTGTTTCCTCCGCAGTCTGCGGCCTGTCGGCGCGCTCGGGCCACGCTCGCGGAGGCCGCATCTTCGGGGGCCGAGCCGCCGGGCCCGGCGACTTCCCGTGGCAGGTGCTGCTGCAGGGCGAGGGCACGGCGGCGGGCGCGCTGCTGGGCGACCGCTGGGTGCTGACGGCCGCGCACGCCGTGTACGAGCACCGGGACGACGCGTGGGGCCTGGACGTGCGCCTGGGGACGCTGCGGCGGCTGGACCCGCAGGCCGTGCGCGCGCGCGCCCAGGCCGTCTTCATCCACGGCGACTACGCGCACGGCGCGGGCTTCGACCACGACGTCGCGCTCATCAGGCTGGAGGAGCGCGTGGCCCTGGGCCGCGCCGTGGCGCCCATCTGCCTGCCGGGCCGCGCCGCGGGGCCCCCGGCCGGCGCCGTGGGCTCGGTGGCGGGCTGGGGGCTCACGCACCGCGGCTTCCTGGCCCGCAGCCTCATGTACGTGGACGTGCCGGTGGCCGAGCCGCGGGCCTGCGCCGCGGCCTACGAGCAGCAGCCCCGGCCCGAGGCGCGGGTCACCGACAACATGCTCTGCGCGGGCCTGGAGGAGGGCGGCAGGGACAGCTGCCGGGGCGACAGCGGCGGCGCGCTGGCCTTCCTGGACGAGGCGACGCGGCGCTGGTTCGTCGGCGGGATCGTGTCCTGGGGCTCCGTCCAGTGCGGGGAGGCGCGCCAGTACGGGGTGTACACCAAAGTCGCCAACTACGTGTCCTGGATCGAGAGCACCGTGCGCAACAACGCCTAGCCTCCCTGCCGGGGCCAGCCTGGGGGGGCGGAGGGAGGGAGGGGCGGAGGGAGGGAGCGGCCCGCCCCGCCCCGCCCCGCCCCGCCGCCCCGGCCTCGCAAGCGCGCGCGCACGCGGGCAGCACCGCTAGGGAAGACACCCGAACTTCACTTCCACGCGGCGGAATCCCCATCCACCACAGACAGACATGTGAAACGCGGTGCTGCCGCCAAGGCCGCGAGAAAAGCCCCAACACCCAGCGTCCGACCTGCTCGCGCCAACCCAGCATTTCCACCGCCCGCCCCCCCAGGGCGGCATCGACAACCCGAGCTCACTTCCAGACAAGGTCTCAGGTGCGGCGGTGGAGCAAGGCTGAAACCCGGCCCTCTCCTGCAGCTACTCAGGAGGACGGAGCTTCAAAGCCAGCTTGGCACCCGAGTCCACAGGACTCCTCCAAGCGGCGGAGTGCATCCGCGCAGCCCACCCCGGCCATCCTGTCTGCACTCGGCCAGCCAGCACTCTGCCCCAGCCGCACCCCAACCCAGGTTTTACTTCGCGCCTGGTGTCAAGGCCTGGCCTGAATTTGAGCTCAACTTCCCCAGTAGCTTAAGCCACCGGAGTCGGGCTCATTGTTACTCACTAGTCTTAAACCGCTGTAACACTGACCACTCAACGCAGCCAAGGTTTCTTTTTCTCAGGTCGCTACTCTATGTTAGAGACCCACTGAGTCTGGGGCTAATTTCTCTTGGGTATAGGCAGGGCAACTTGGTGGGACTGGCTTTTTAAGCTGGCTTTCCAGCACACTGTCACACAGGAAAAAAAGAAATGGTCGTTTCCCAGTAAGACTCCAGACACTAAACTGTTGGTGGCAACAAAACTTTTTATTCAATGGTGGTTTAAAAGAATTTCGAGAATGAATGCATTTAGAGATGACCAAATAGACTTTTATGCACATTATCATTGCCAAATAGCTGAGATTTTCACTTCTTTTTCCGGGTAGAGTAACTACCCTTTTGTCGGTGTAGTACCGCAGACATGTTAATAAAAGGCGAGTCAACAGCGCAGGCCTCCTACGACCAGGAACTCGCTTTCACAGGTGAAATGAGGGATTAAAACCATGCCATCGACAGGTGCACTTACCCCTGGGCTCCTTGAAGGCGTGCCAGTTTAGTCTTTGGAGGTCCCCGAGTACCATTTTAAGTGTTACCATGTTACTGCTGCTGAGTAACAGTGCAAGTGCTAAAATGCAAAATGCAGATGTACAGGGTTTGGAAATCGTGCAGAAAAAGAAAATTTAAAAACAACTCAAGAGCCTTTTACAGAGGAAACAAAACAATGTGGCAATCACAAGTCTAAAGGATGACTTTATCGATACACCAAGCTTGCAAAATGACAAACCTATTTATCAGAATCTAATTTGGTAAGGACATCAGGTAAAGTAGCAACACAAAAGCTGTCACATTCTTCCAACTAAAAACCAGGCCCCTCAATTCTCAAGGGGTCAGCAGTTACAGAAAAAGTACAAATCCATCTATTATTGCTTTTACAGTCTTAACAGTGCATCACCAGAGTCTAATCTGAGTCCTGCCAGTGAGTTTATCAACAGGAATGACTATATTCCTCCTCAGAGGGTAAAGCCCACTTCACTTAACACTGCACAGACTACCCACCCAACCAGTCTTAAAGCTATCAGGCTTCTTAATGGATTTCAGGCACAAGGTAATTTGTGGTTTCTTCTACGGTTATCCCTATTGCAATTAATTCCACTTTTCAAATCCCAAACAGAAAGGTGCGGATCATTCCTCCTTTCAAGCGTGTGCTTGGCCACAAACAAGCATGGGGACGATCAGTGTTGTTCTGCCCACTCCCCCAACGGTTTTTAGAGGGCTCCATTCCCCAATGGCCATTTTACAGGCCAAGAAAATAGAACATCACCCAAACGCACAGGGGCACCAAGACAAAGCGGAGGGCGCTGCTTACCATTTTAGGTGCGGTCACCCAGACTCATTAAAAACTAGATTAAAAAACAACAATAATAAAAAAAAACCTTTTTCACTTTGGACAATGCAAGAACAAATAGCAATTAAGTCTGGGTATCAGGTGTCAATGCATGACAGGTGATGAATCCATTTGACTTGAGACAACTTTTCAAATAAGTTTATTTGAAGTGAAATAAGCTACTGCCAAGAAACTTTATGAAAGTTCCATCTCAAAAGGGTCAAAAAAGGGGAATTAACTGCTATGAATTCTTTGCATTCAGGGCTGCAAAACAAAGACACATATTATTTAAATCAGTTTTATTTAAGAATTTCCAACATTGACAACTCTTATAAAAAGCATCCAAGCACAGGACACAGAACTGCAGCAAACAGCATTCTTCTGGGGAGCTAACAGACAGAGAACTTGCACCCGCGAGACACCTGGGCTCGCTGGTGAACTCTGCTTCCAAGTACTCCCGCAAAGCACACCACAAGCTCAGTCCATGTTCTCAGCCCACCAGCTTCAGTTCACGTTCCCACACTTGCAGATCGGTAACAGGAGAACACACACCATACAGCATTCACAGCAGTGGACGAGGGGGGAGGGGAGGTACAAGTGTCATTTCACTAACACATTCAGCTAAGAGGGTTATCTAAGAACAAAACTCAAAGTCTTCCCACAGATGTGGATGTCCTTTGAATGCAAAAACATTCGTACGTTATTTGCTAGCAATGCTCTCTGCACACTCTCTCACCAAAGCCCACAGGATCGAGAGACACATCTCGCCAAGTTAAAAAATATCCATTATGCACCACCAAGTCTCTGCACGCGCTCTCCTTTTCTCGCTCATACTAGCCTTTCATGCCTCGGCACCATCATCAATCCCACACAAGGTTTCAAAAGTTCAAACAGCCTTCTGGTTCCATCTCACAGCCTTGCGTTCAGAGCGTTGATACGACTCCATGACATAAAGAGTAGCGGATAAAAATGGGACACCCACCGTCAAGACGCAGCCTGTGCAGTGTGATGGCGAACTCTCGGATGAGAAAGCGCGTGACAGAAGCATTCCTATGGCAGAGTATTTACAGCACTACTTTCAATGAAGTGCTTCTTCCATAAACATTTGAAATGAGATGAACTGCAGAGATTAAATGAAGGCTTCATATTGTACTTTTGCATGTGAGGGGAGACAAGCGTTAAAAACCAAAACCAAAAGAACCAAACACCGTGAGACACCGTCCGTCACCTCCCAGGAGAGGTTCCCAGGGAAAACCCATGTGGTGGGGTTCAAATTAAAACAAGGAGAAAAAGATGCAGTTCTAACCAATGGTTTCCACTTTGAACATGCAAAGAATTCTCTTAACAAGTCCAGGGATAAACGAGTACAGGAGAAACCTTTTGCTATCAATTGTAGTGTTGGTTTACCATTCAGGCAAACAGCAGCTCCCTTTCAGCCACTCACTAGTTCAACCTTTTATGTAACAAAACTTGTAAAATTCCTTTAGCTCTTCCTCTTTTTTGAAAGAAAAATGTCAAAAATACTGCTGAATATACTCCACACTGAACAAACCAATTTGGAAAATCCTTAGTACATACGTATTTTACAATATACTTACCATGAGTTTAGAAAAATTTAAATTCCCACCATTCCATACCAACCAACCAACCAACCAGCCAACCAGCCACCCACAACCCACCACCTACATTCCCCAGCCAGAAGACTTGGAATCCATGCTTGAGCCGAATCCCCCATTGAACCCACTGCCTGAGCCGGCATTCGAGGCTGAGCCCCAACCAATGGCCGCACCAGAATTAGACCCACTGTAAGAGTTATTCCCAGAACCGAAAGCCTGGTTTGGTTCTCTCTGCATGTTTCCCTGGCTTTGGTTATTGCCTGATGGGCCTGACTGGTTCTGCTGACTGGCCAGCATGCCCATCATACCCCAACTGCTCTGCAGGGCTGCTTGGGCAGCAGCCATCATTGCTGGGTTAATGCTGAAAGCACCAAAGTTCATCCCTCCCCCCATATTGCTACCCTGATTATTTCCCAAGCCAGCTCCACCCCCTCTACTGTTACCAAACCCACCCTGATTCCCAAAGCCACCTGGATTACCACCAAATCTTCCACTTCTTTCTAACTGTCTACTGCTATTGTGCTTAGGTTCTGCATTGGAGATATGCACGCTGATGCCTTTAATGATCAGGTCCTCGCCGCAGAGAGACTGGGCCACCTACAAGAGACAGGGATGGAACCACTAAACCTGACCTTCCCCAGCCCAGCAAGAGACCCTAAAATTTAAATTCTACTTATCTAAGCCGGAGGATGTTCATTTCATTCCCCACCCCACCCCCCCAAAAAAAACCTGTTGACTTTTCTAACAATAGTATCTATTTTCGGAAAATAAAGGGTCACATACCTATGGCTAGCTAAACGACATTTCACAGCCAACCTAGGGCCACCCAGCCTAGGATGGCAGCCAGCTGGGACAAACTAGTACCACAATCATTTTGTGGTGCTGAGGACTGAACCCAGGGCCTTGCCCATGTAAATCACATGCTGTGTGGTGAGCCCCCCCCCCCCCCCCCCCCCCGCAAATGACCAAGGAGAAAAATACCTGATCGTCTGCGAATGTAACGAAGGCAAAAGCCCTGAATGGTTTGGGGATAAAGACGTCCACCACCTCTCCGTACTGACAGAAGAACTGCTGCAGCTCCTCAGCTGTCATGTCCTCTGTGCACCGTCCCACAAACACTTTTCTGCTTCTCAAAGGCTCATCTAAGCTTTGCTGGTCAAAATGAATAACAAAAAAAATCAGAGTTACTTTGTGAATGATGTAGAGGGAATCAGGGTAAAAATGCTACAAATCCTAGTAAGGCAAGCCAGGGAATTGTGGCTCATGCCTAAAATCCTAACTCTACTCAGGAGGCTGAGGTCTAAGGGTCACATTTCTGAAGCTAGGGGAAAGTCTGTAAGACTGGCATCACCAAACCCCAGAAATGGAGCTGTGGCTCAAGTGGTAGAGTGCTGTCCTTGAACAAGT